AGAAGTATACATTTTAAATTTTTTTATTTTTATTTTTATTTATTTATTTATTTATTTTGAGACAGAGTTCTGTTCTTGTTGCCCAGGCTGGAGTACAATGGCACTATCTCTGCCCACTGCAACCTCCGCCTCCCAGGTTCAAGCGATTCTCCTGCCTCAGCCTCCCGAGTAACCGGGATTACAGGCACTCGCCACCACACCTGGCTAATTTTGTATTTTTAGGAGAGATGGGGTTCTCCAAATTGGTCAGGCTGGTCTTGAACTCCTGACCTCAGGTGATCCGCCCGCCTTGGCCTCCCAAAGTGCTGGGATTACAGGCGTGAGCTACCGCACCTGGCGATTTTTATTTTTATTTTTTGATACAGAGTCTCACTGTGTTGCCCAGGCTGGAATGCAGTGGCATGATCTTGGCTCACTGCAACCTCTGCCTTCTGGGTTTAAGTGATTCTCTTGCCTTAGCCTCCCAAGTAGCTGGGATTACAGGCATGTGCCACTATGCCTGGCTAATTTCTGTATTTTTAGTAGTGTTGGGGTTTTACCATGTTGGCCTGGCTGGTCTCGAACTCCTGACCTCAGGTCATCTTCCCTCCTTGGCCTCCCAAAAGTGCTATGATTACAGGCATGAACCACCGCACTGCACCCAGCCTGGGTAAATTTTTTGTAACCTGGGATCTTGCTGACCTCATTAGCTCTTAGGATGTTTTTGTAGATGTCATAGGATTTTTCTGTATATAAGATCATAAGATACTGAGCTCACAAGATCATGAGAGAGAATTTTACTGCTTCCTTTCCAATCCAGATGCCGTATATCTTGCCTGTTTCCCTGGCTACAATCTTCAGTAAAATAGAGTATGGTATTTATTAACGTTTTTATGTTGAACCACTCTTGCATTCTAGGGAAAATCCCTCTTGGTCATGGTGTATAATCCTAATTATATGTCGATAGATTTGGTTTGGTAGTTTTTAGGGCTTTGTATTTATATTCTTATGGGATAGAGTGTCATTTTCATTTTGAGACAAGGTCGCACTCTGTCACCTAGGCTAGAATGCAGTGGAGTGAACACAGCTCACTGCAGCCTCAACCTCCCAGGCTCAAACAATCCTCCAAGTATTTGGGACCACAGGTGCACTCCACCATGCCTGGCTAATTTTCTTATTTTTTGTAGAGTTGGGGGTCTTACCATCCTGCTCAGGCTGGTCTTGAACTCTTGGGCTCAAGCAGTCCCCCCACTTTGGCCTCCTAAAGCGTTGAGATTACTTGGGATTATGGGTGTGAGCCATCACACCTGGCTTGTCATTTGTTTTTTCTTGTATGTATCCGTTGGTTTTGATATCAGAGTAATAATGGCCTGCCTTCTAAATGAGTAAGTTTTCCTTCTTTTTTTCGGTGGAAAGGAATGAGGATTCTTTCAACATTGGATTGGTAGACTTCACCTTGAAGCCATGTGGTACTGGGCCTTTCCCTGTGAGGCATTTTTGATTACTGATTCAATTTCTTATTATAGCCCTGTCCAGATTTTGTTTCTTGAATCCCTTTTTGGTAGTTTGTGTCCTTCCAGGAATTTGTTTATTTAATCAAGGTTATCTAATTTATTACCATGTAATTGTTCATACTATTCTCTTATAATCTTTTCTATGTGTCAAGTTAGTAGTAGTCTGTTCTTTGATTCCTGATTATAGTAATTTGAGTCTTCTCTTTTTTTTTCCCCCATGGTGGATCTAGCTAAAGATTGGCCATTTTTGTTCGTATTTTCGAAGAACTGACTTTTGGTTTAATTGATAATCTCTCTCTCTCTCTTTTTCTTTTTTTTTTTTTTTTTTGAGACGGAGTGTCGCTTTTTTCGCCCAGGCTGGAGTACAGTGACTCCATCTCAGTTCACTGCAACCTCTGCCTCCCGGGTTCAAGCGATTCTCCTGTGACAGCCTCCTGAGTAGCTGGGACTACAGACATGTGCCATCACCCCCAGCTAGTTTTTCTATTTTTGATAGATACGGCGTTTCACCATGTTGGCCAGACTGGTGTCAGACTCTGACCTCAAGTGATCCACTGCCTCAGCTTCCCAAGGTGCTGGGATTACAGGCATGAGCCGCTGAAGCCTGGTCTCTATTGCATTTATTTCCTCTCTAGTTTTCATTATTTTCTTCTTTCTGTTAACTTTGGGTTAGAGTGTGTGTATGTGTGTGTTTTCAGGTAGAAGATTAGGTTGTTAATCTGAGATCTTTATTTTAATATTTATTTAGTTTTTTGTCACCCAGGCTGGAGTGCAGTGGCGCGATCTAAGCTCACTGCAACCTCTGCCTCCAGAGTAGCTTGGATTACAGGTGTCCACTGCCATGCCTGGCTAATTTTTTTATTTTTAGTAGAGGCAGGGTTTCACCATGTTGGCCACACTAGTCTTGAACTCCTGACCTCAAGTGATACACCCACCTCAGCCTCCCAAAGTGCTGAGATTACAGGTGTGAGCCATTGTACCTGGCCAGAGATCTTTATTTTTATTTTATTTTATTTATTTATTTATTTATTTTTGAGATGGAGCCTCGCTCTGTCGCCCAGGCTGGAGTGCAGTGGCGTGATCTTGGCTCATTGCAACCTCTGCCTCCCGGGTTTCAGCGACTCTTCTGCCTAAGCCTCCTGAGTAGCTGGTATTACAGGTGTGTGCTGCCATGCCTGGCTAATTTTTTGTAGAGATGGGGTTTCAGTATATTGGCCAGACTGGTGTCAAACTCCTGACCTCAGGTGATCCACCCTCCTTAGCCTCCCAAAGTGCTGGGATTACAGGTGTGAGCCACTATGCCAGCCCAACTGAACATTTAAGATTTGAATACTTGACTATATTATAATCCAATACAGTTTTCAAAAATAGCAAATCCAACTCAAAAAAGTTCTTACACCAAACCAATCTGAGTTTAGAACTGTTTAACAATTGCCAAGCAAAGCAACTGATAAATTCTCTACCCACCAGACTCAACTACTAAAGTATACATGGTCCCCAATTTACAGTGGTTAGACTTAAGATTTTTCAACTTTACAATGGCACGAAAGGAATACATCAGTACGCTGCTCAACTTTTCAGCTTTGCCAGACGTGACCCCGTCGTGAGTCGAGGTGCATCTATATTCAGCTAATGGTCACCAGATTTGGCTGAGTGTGGCCTTTTCTGGGCTACCTGCAGCTCACTGCTGATCTCATCCATTTAAATTGCTGGAGTTCTAATTTATCAAATATTCTTTTTTCTGAACATTTTGGCATTTCGGTTTTTTCACGCAGATTTCTCATTGTACGTTCTTACAAATGAATATTTGCAGACATCATTTTTTCCTTAGAAAAAGGTAATGTCACAAAATTCTTAAAATGGTAATGTCACAAAAATCTTTTAAAAAATTAGGCCCTTGCATATATATTGTTAAATTAGTCTAGAAGAATATTTTAAAATCAGAGATAGAAGTTGAAGACACCTCTGATAAAGTAGGTTAAGATCACATAGTGAAGAAATGATTGCTGTGCTCTGTGTTTGAATGTTATTATGTAGCCCATAAGAACTCAGAAAAATCAAATGACAAATACTATCATTTTAGGAATATTAGTCTAAGCAAATACAGTTCTAACTCTCATGCAAGCTAAAAATTATAATGAAAAGCTCGATTTTTCAGCCGGGTGTGGTGACTCACGGCTGTAATCCCAGCTACTTGGGAGGCTAAGGCAGGAGAATTGCTCGAACCTGGGAGTTAGAGTTTGTAGTGAGCTGAGATCACACGATTGCTCTCCAGCCTGGGCAACAAAGCAAGACTCTGTCTCAAAAAAAAGAAACAAAGAAAAAAGGAAAACTCGATTTTTCATAGTGTGAATATATAAAGAGTTCCCAGCTTATTATGGCTAAATTTATGGTTTTTTCACTTTGTGATGAATTTATCATGATGTAAACCCTCCTAAGTTGAGAAGCATCTGTATATCAAAAAATATTTCACAACAGGGGTCAGTAATTGTTTTCTGTAAAGGACCAAAAGAATCAACATTTTAGGCTTTGCCAGCCAGGAGATCTCTGTTGCAACTATTCAGTTCAGCCACTCAGGATGAAAATTAACCATAGATAACATGTAAACAATGGATGTGGTTCATTTTGGTTCCGTGTGAATTTTAAAACATTGTTTTTTAACTTCTTGAAGAATGTCATTGGCAGTTTGAAAGGAATAGCTGATTTTGTATTTTTAGTAGAGATGGGGTTTCACTATGTTGGCCAGGCTGGTCTTGAACTCCTGACCTCGTGATCTGCCTGCCTTGGCCTCCCAAAGTGCTGGGATTACAGGCGTGAGCCACTGTGCCCGGCCGAGGCTTTTTTTTTTTAAAGTAAAATGTGAATTATGTTATTTGTCTTGCCTACTTTATAAACACATTGTATAAGGCTCTACTTTGGAAATTTTGAAGGCCTGTGGAAATATCTGAAGGGGCATACATTACTGTTCAGACATCTGAGAAATAATCTTTATTCCTAGGTAAAACTTAACTAGCTGTTGGGTTGTTTTTAGATTCATGGTGTTGTTTTAATAGTATTGAGGACCCACTTTTTTTTTTTTTTTTTTGGCGTTGAGACCGAGTCTCAACGCCAGGCTGGAGTGCAGTGGCCTGATCTTGGCTCACTGCAATCTCTGCCTCCCGGGTTCAAGCAATTCTCCTACCTCAGCCTCCCGAGTAGCTGGGACTACAGCTGCACGCCACCATGCCCAGCTAATTTTTGTATTTTTAATAGAGACAGGGTTTCACCATGTTGGCCAGGATGGTCTTGATCTCTTGACCTCGTGATCTGCCCACCTTGGCCTCCCAAAGTGCTGGGATTACAGGCATGAGCCAGAGGACCCACATTTTACAGATATTTTTATCTTCACAGTTTTTTAAAGTACTATTTACCTTTATCTTCACAGGTTTTTAAAGTACTATTCTACTACTTACTTATTGGGATTTAAAACAGTATATAATAGCATTATTCAAATGATTTTTCCACTAGGCACGGATGGGCGGAAGCCTTTGCAGGTATCAGAAGTTCACATATCAAATATATCTGCCCACATGCGTGAGTATTTCTGATCTTCAGGCTTGTGATTCAGAGTCTGGAGAGGAGCAATTGTCATTGTTTTACCTTTCCAGAAAAGTATTTAAATATAATTAATTTTTATTATTTAAATATTCAGTTTAAAAATGAAGATTAGTAGAATTCCTTAAAACTTTATAAAATGATTTCTTAAATTGATTTTTTTTTCGTTTTCTCTTTCGTTAAGCAATTTAAAGTATCTCTCTCTATAAGGCCAGAAAAATTATTATTTTTATTTATTTATTTTTGAGACGGAGTCTTGCTCTGTCACCCAGGCTGGAGTGCAGTGGTGCGATCTTGGCTCACTGCAACCTCCACCTCCTGGGTTCTAGTGAGTCTCCTGCCTCAGCCTCCTGAGCAGCTAGGATTACAGGTGTGTGCCACCATGCCCAGCTAATTTTTGTATTTTTAGTAGAGGCAGGATTTCACCATGTTGGCCAGGCTAGTCTCAAATGCCTGACCTCAAGTGATCCACCTGCCTTGGCCTCCCAGAAAAATTATTTTAGATATACAAATACCTATACAATTCTAGGATATCACCCGGATATCTCTGAAGGGGAATTACCTGTTAGATTTGTGAGTAATCTTTATTATGTTGAAACCACTCTTTAATTTTATCGTTTAGAGGCAATGTGTTGTACTGTGGAAAGAACACAGACTTTGGAATATGATAGGTTTGGTTTTGAATTCTGGCTCTGAAAGTATTTGTGGATGTCAAAAAGAAATTGGTAAGTTTTGAACAAACTTAGAAAATCAATAAGATTGGCACGTTAGGTCAAGCTTGTGCAGCCTGTGGCCCCGGTCAGCTTTGAATGCAGCCCAGTACAAATTGTAAGCTTTCTGAAAACATTATGTGATTTTTTTTTGTATTTTTAGATATTATTTTATTTTAATTTTAGCTCATCAGCTCTTGTTAGTGTTAATGTATTTTTATATGTGACCCAGGACAATTCTTCTTCCATTGTAGCCCAGGGAAACCAAATGATTGGACACCCTTGTTTTAGATCAAAAGATTGCTGATAAGCAATAGCCATGGAGAAGACCAGAAGGGATTGGACATACTCATATAAGTTAGTAATTCATCCTCAGAAGTGTTAGTAGCAGTAAAGTTGGGACAGATACATGAATATGAAAGAGGGAATGGAAAGAACAGCTGAGAAGAGGATAAGAAAACATTTCTTCCTTTTTTAATCCTGAAATAGACGGTCTGTCTCTGTAGGCTACAATGAATACTGTGGCTAGGGTTGCTATATCCTGTATTATTCTACTCAAGCCAGAGAAGACAGAATTCTTCTTTTTTTTTTTTTTTTTTTTAAAGAAGGAGTCCTGCTCCATTGCCCAGGCTGGAGTACGGTGGCATGACCTCGAATCACGGCAACCTCTGCCTCCCAAGTTCAAACGATTCTTCTGCCTCAGGCTCCTGAGTAGCTGGGACTACAGGCACATGCCACCATGCCTGGCAGATTTTTGTATTTTTCACCATATTGGCCAAGCTGGGCTCCAACTCCTGACCTCGTGATCTGCCCGCCGTGGCCTCCCAAAGTGCCAGGATTACAGGCATAAGCTATTGCACCTGGCCCATCATAGATTTGAATTGGCTATAATGGACAGTTAGGCAAATTTTGGATTTCCCTTATTTATTCAGAGGTCTCTTAATTAAGCGGGTACACAGCTAAGAACTAGAAAATTAGCAAAAGTGTAATCTGAGCATATAGGCATTGAGGTTACAGTATCAGTGTAATAAAGTCGCTCATTGTCCTTAGTCCCATACCAGAATCTCATATTTTATACATTTCCAGCTGTCTTGGTTTCCAGTTTCTCTTCTCATGTCTGAGAAGTTAAAAGTAGTAAGGAAGGGTGTGAGAAGGGAAAAGGTATTCGTCAAGCTTAGTCCTTTGTTGCTGTTCCTCTGTCTTCAGAACACATTTGGAGGGGCGTGGAGAGCAGACTTGTACAGGTGTGGATGAAGTAAACAGTTCATATATTAAAACTGTAGCGTGGAGTATCGTGTAGGTCTCAAGTAATTATCTGTTTTAGATTAATGGAATTTTATCTAAAAGTTTGTATGCTTTGTTATTCTGATTTTGCTGTTTTTTCTTTTCCTTGTAGGCCTGTTATGCCTGTTACACTAAATATGAACATGGCTATGCCTTCATGGTAAGTGAGAATTTACTTATTCAGTAAGAACATTATATTGCTTATTTTATGTAATGTTATAAGAAACACTTTTGTGTACAGCAGTTTTTATTTAGCTGTTTTTTAACTTGCAAAGTTGCATAGTTAACCTTATTTACATTTTTATGCTCTAGATTTAGGGGTAAACTTAAGGAGCTGTACGAACAGGTAGAGAAATAGGCGAGAAGGTGTGAATAAAAATCACGTGGGAGGCTCTCTTCTGCTGCTTGATAAACCTTTGTTGATTTTAGTAACCCAACATTCAGATGACCCCTATTAAGCCACAGCCTCTTCACCTTTCCAATTTCTTGTCTACCTGGGTTGTTTTTAAGGAAACCACTTCCCTTTCAGCCCTCTGAAGATATTCTCACAGTCCCTGTGTAGGGTCAGTTTTTTGTTCCTGTGTGCTACTTCCAGACTTTGATTTTTCCTGACTGTTCTCTGAGATTCCTACCATCAGGTTGGGAGGCTGAGGCTGAAGAATCACTTGAACCCAGGAGGCGGAGGTTGCAGTGAGCCGAGATTGCGCCACTGCACTCCAGCCTGGTGACAGAGCAAGACTCCGTCAAAAAAAAAAAAAAAAAAATGATGACTTTAGGGCTGGGCGTAGTGGCTCACGCCTGTAATCCTAGCACTTTGGGAGGTTGGGGCAGGTGGATCAAAAGATCAAGATCATCCTGGCCAACATGGTGAAACCTTGTCCTACTAAAAATACAAAAATTAGCCAGGCATAGTAGCACATGCCTGTATTCCCAGCCACTCCAGAGACTGAGGCAAGAGAATCACTTGAACCCATGAGGCGGAGGTTGCAGTGAGCTAAGATCATGCTACTGCATCCAGCCTGGCAACAGAGGGATACCCATCTCAAAAAAAAAAAAAAAAATGTTTACTTTAGCCAGGCATGGTGGTTCACACCTGTAAACCCAGCACTTTGAAGTTGAGGTGGATCAATTGAGGTCAGGAGTTCAAGACCAGCCTGGCCAGCATAGCGAAACCCCATCTCTACTAAAAATATAAAAATTAGTCAGGCATGGTGGCATGCCCTTGTAGTCTCAGCTACTCAGGAGACTAAGGCAGGAGAATCGCATGAACCTGGGAAGGGGAGGCTGCAGTAAGCTGAGACCGTACCACTGCACTTCAGCCTGAGCAACGAGCGAGATTTCGTCTCAAAAAAAATAAAAATATATATATTTCTGATTATCCCTTTAATCCAAGCTACCATGAATGTAGTAAAATATACTTCTTATAATAATAGATTTTCTTAGAATCAAAAGGTTCTTTTTAGATTTGCCTTATTTTACAGGTTTGATATTATTGGGCTTTCACCAGATTCACAGGAAGATGAACCTGGGATTAAACAGGCTGCAGAAAACAGTAAGTACAGAAAATGTTTATAAAGCCAAAAGCATTCTTAAGTGTTTTTAGTAGATTCATTAATCACATTGGTACTGGTTAAAAATGACACATTTGGGCCTGGCACGGTGGCTTACGCTTGTAACTCTGTAACTCACGCCTGTAAACTCTATTAGACATATAATAATTTTGCTTTGATTTATATGGGAAAATGGAGAAAACAGCAAAATGTTTAATAGTTTTTACCAGTTATTTTCATTAAGGAGACTTGGAATAACAATGAAAATAATGATATAGGGCCGGGCGCGGTGGCTCAAGCCTGTAATCCCAGCACTTTGGGAGGCCGAGGCGGGTGGATCACGAGGTCAAGAGATCGAGACCATCCTGGTCAACATGGTGAAACCCCGTCTCTACTAAAAATACAAAAAATTAGCTGGGCATGGTGGCGCGTGCCTGTAGTCCCAGCTGCTCAGGAGGCTGAGGCAGGAGAATTGCCTGAACCCAGGAGGCGGAGGTTGCGGTGAGCCGAGATCGCGCCATTGCACTCCAGC